CTCTCTCTCCCCTACACACACACTCACACACTCTCTCTCCCCTACACACACACTCACACACACGCTCACACACACGCTCTCACACACGCACGCTCACACACACATGCTCACACACACACGCTCACACACACGCTCACACACACACGCTCACACGCATGCTTACACACGCACGCACTCACACGCTCACACACACGCATGCATTCACACACGCACTCACACGCTCACACACACACTCACATGCGCTCACACACACGCATTCACACACGCATTCACACACGCACACACACTCTCTCTCCCCCATAAACATACACAAACACATACACATACCGTCACAGTCACTCACAGTCACTCACTCTCTCACCACCCCCCCACACACACACCCCTCAAACACCTCACAGAAGGAGCCCATTTGGCACATCTTGCTTCTTTTTAATCCTCCCCCTCCCTTTCATGAAGCTTCTGCCATTCTCAGACTGATGCTGCTCAGCAGTGAGGCCATTCGGCCCCTTGTGTCTGACCCAGCTCATTTCTTTTTAATGCCCAGAGGAGTCACGCCAGACTCCCAACGTTAGCGGTTTCTCCAGAGAAGCTGCCAGACCTGCTGAGGTTTCTCTGTGTTTACTTCACATTTCCAGCATCTGCAGAGCGTACCTTTTATCTGACAGTTAGTCCCCACTACAGTCAGCCACCAAAAAAGTTAAATAACCCAAATATTTATCCAAAATTTTTTTCTGAAACGTTCTAAGTCCCTCAACTAGTTAAGACATTAATTACTTCTTTACAGATTTTCTAGCCAGTTAAGATTAATTTTTAGAGATTTTCTAAGTGAAATAACAGTAACGAGCAGAGAAAGTGATTTTGTTGTAAATAAGTTATACTCACCTCAGCAAGGCAGAGGATAAGGAAGACAGCGAATGCTGGAGAGTGGAACATTTTAGGGAGAGGAGGTCTCGAAGGTCTTTCTGAGCAGACACAAGTTGCTGTGGCTCTCTTGTCCCTGTTTGTGCGTGTGGGTTTCCTCTCCTTCCTCCTGGCTTGTCCCTGGGTGTCTCTGAGCCCGGCTCGCACTCTGTCTCTCTGTGTGTGTTGCTAGCTGCTTTGTGTAGAGACCGTCCGCACGACCCTGCCTTTTATAGGCGGCTGCTCTCTGGAAGCTGACGTTCACCCTGCTGTCTAGGGCTGCACATCTTGTTTGATTTCAGGGTCAGGAATCTTAGGAATGTTTCTGGCGCGTTTTTCTCAGACACCGCCCCAGCTAAAAAGAAAGAGAGAAACCAGTCAAAACTCTCTCACCCCATCCCCAATAAAGCACAGCGCAGCATTTAATCACATGCTATTAAGGGGGGGTGGGTGAGAGAGGGGGTGGAACATACTTTGAAGTTTGCATCATGAAATATTTACAATTCATTTCGTCCTGACTTCTGAGAAGGAGAAGTTTATTACTTTAAATTCCTAACCACTTTCTTCATCCTTCCTAAGTATTTCCAGATGGAATACGCGCAGCGACGTAACTTTATTCCCATATTTGGTAGAATTCTTGTTTTTTTCCACATTTTTGAGCTGCCTGGCTACCACAAAGTATTGCTGTTATCCCGAGACTGCATTTTTTAAAAATGATGCATGTAAAAGGAAGTGATTGATGTTTGCAACAAGGGGCCAGTTTGAAAGATTGTTGTAATGTTGGAATGAAGGCAGTGGAAAATGTGAGGGTGGTGTGTTTGAGGGGAGAAGGGGATGGGGTTGCAGACTAACATTGACAGTGACAGAGCTCCTGTGTTTTATTTCCCCTACACACATACACAGAAGGAATGTGCTTTTAAAACCAATCACCGTTACATCTGAATAAGAAGTGACATGTCCCTGGAGAGATTTTAAAGAAAACAAAATCACTTTTTTTAATTTAGTCGTGAGATTGTTCTTGGGCAGATAACGGCCCATAGGCTGCATGTTGAGTTCTGGGACTTTAAACAGGAATATTTCTCATTTCTAGACACATCACATTGTGTCCTTTTTCAATCCTTAATGCTGGGGGAGATTTTTTTTTGTTGTTGAAAAGCAGTGGTTAACTTTCCAAGAATGTTTGTATTTGGAGGAAGATTGTCCCACAACACAATCTGTCCCAGGAGTTGCTGGAGCAGTTTTGTTTTAATCTCAAGAGCCCGAGGAGAATCTGCAAACCCAGTGTGGATTGATGAGGCGGACCAGCATTAAGAAGGGGTAAGTGTCTGCTTTCCTCTCGACTGAATGGGGCAGGGAACAGGACACTGTTCAGGCTCCAGCAGTAAGAGGCAATCCGCCCAGGACAGAAAGTGTACATCTTGTGAGCAGTGCATTATTCCAAGGAATCGAAGTTTCTCTGTGAAATGGTCTTGCATTGGTTTGTCTTTGCCTGAATCCTGAATGTTTAGCGGTTCCAGAAATTTTCTTTCTATTTCAAAAATATACTTTACTCATGAAAAAAAAGTCGGTATGTAAGTCACAAACTCAGTTCTGATCTGTACTGTCGCATATCAAGTAAACAAACAGACCACTGGACTTTGACTCTATCCAAAAAAGACCTCTGTTACTATACAATAATGCGTTTGCCATGAATAAGGGATGGGATTTATCTCAGGCAGCTATCACAATATTGACTTTCTCAGCTGACACATCTAGCTGATTTATCAATGTTACTTTAGTGTTGTTGTGGGCAGATGCAAATCGATTCTGAACACCTCACTGAAGTTACCCTTTCTAATAGGCAAAAACTACACTGACGGGAGCTACCATATAAAACCGTCTGAATTCCCAGAGTGTCTCTGGGGAGATTTGGTGTCAACTCATTTCTGAGTGAGCTCCATCTTTATCCATTTCCTGTTGGAATCTGATTTGTTTTGATGGCTTAGTTTTCTCTTAAAATCCAATTTGTTTTTCACATCCAGTCAAACTCATTGTCAATTTCAGGTGCTTCTTTTGTTAAAAGTTTCTGATGTTGGTTTTTATTGGATCAGATCGGATCAGGGTGTCCCTGCAGCGGGAACATTTAAAGAGTGCGGAAGTAAATTTTTCTGAAAAAAACAATTTGTGGTGATGTAGGATTGCTGACGAAGACATTCCTAATTAGTTTATAATATCTTTATTCATACATGGGATTGTGGGCATCACTGACCGTTTATGCCAAATTGCCCAGAGGGCAGTTAAGACCTTGCTGTTAGTCTGGAGTCACATGTAGGCCAGACCAGGCAGACTTCATGCCTGAAGGACATTAGTGACCAGATTTTTTTTTTTATTAATGACAATTGACAACAATCATCATTCCATTCTTAATTCCAGGTTTTTATTGAACTTAATTTCACCATCTGCCATAGCACGATCCAAATGCATGACCCCAGAACATTATTTGAGTCCCTGGGTCCAGCAATAATACCATTAGGCTATCACCTCCCATATTAAAATTTAAATTTAAACAATTTTAACACAAACCTGTCCTCTGGATTTTATCTGGTCAGGAATTAAGAGCTGTTGATCCATAATCAGCCATCTGTTCCCAAATGCCATACATGTGCCCATAGCTTAGGATGGTAACCAGACCACCACCCTCCTGCCCCCACCCCCAACAAATCCCGAGCAGACTCAATCAGTAGCCAGCCTTGAACAAGCAATCAGCCCTCTCAATAGTGGCATCTGTATCACCTCCCCTGCACCCCGCCCCCCCCCCACCACCCCCACCCCCTGCCCTCTGTACAGCATAATGCCAGGAGGATGTTTCACTTCATGGGAGAGTCTAGGATTCAAAATAAAAGGCGCTGATTTAAGACTGCGATGAGGAAGAATTTCTTCTCAGAGGGCTGTGAGTCTCTGGAACTCCTTGCCACAGAGAGCTGTGGGGACAGAGTCCTTGTGTATATTCAAGGCTGAGAGAGATAGATTCTTGATCACCCAGGGAATCAAGGGTTACAGGAAAAGGGCAGGAAAGTGGACCTGAGGAAAGTTGGATCAGCCACAATCAATGAGCAGGTTAGAGGGGCCGAATGGCCTCGTCCTGTTCCCAGTTCTTACGGTCTTGTGTCTGTAACAAATTGATTAAACATATCTACCACTAGCAACCACTAGAGGCCACTCACGCCCCACTAGCAGCTAGAGATGTTTTGTTATCCAGATTTGTCCACTCACTCAGGCACTCACTAATTCAAGATTTGTATTTATAAAAGTTCTTGCATTGATATAGCCCCTTTCATGACCTCAGGACATAGAGTCATACAGTTATACAGTATCGAAATAGACCCTTCAGACAACTCGCCAATGCCAACCAGATATCCTAAATTAATCTAGTCCCATTTGCTGGCATTTGGTCCATATCCCTTTAAACCTTCCTATTCATGTACCCTTTCAGATGCCTTTTAAATGTTGTAATTGTACCAGCCTCCATCATTTCCTCTGGCAGTTCATTCCATACACGCACCACCCTCTGTGTGAAAAAGTTGCCCCTTAGGTCCTTTTAAATCTTTCCCCTCTCACCTTAAACCTATGCCTGAGTTTTGGACTCAGCTACCCTGGGAAAAAGGACCTCGGCTATTCTCCCTATCCATGCCCCTCATGATTTTATAAACTTCTATAAGGTCATCCCTCAGCCTCTGATGCACCGGGGAAAATAACCCCAGCCCCTTCAGCCTCTCCCTATAGCTTAAACCCTCCAGTCCCAGCAACATCCTTGTAAATCTTTTCTGAACCCTTTCAAGTTTAACAACATCTTTCCTGTAGCAGGGAGACCAGAATTGAACACAGTATTCCAAAAGACGTCTAACCAATGTCCTGTACAGCCGCAACATGGCTTCCCAACTCCAGCCCAAGGTTCTTTGCAGCCAATGAAGGGCTAATTTGAAGTGTAGTAGCCAAGTTTCACACAGCAAGACCCCATCATTAGCAATGTGATATTGAACATAAGAGCAAAAGAAATATGTGCAGCAGTAGGCCATTTGGCCCATTGAGTCTCTTCCACCATTCAATGAGATCACGGCTGATTTAACAATCCCCAACTCCACTTTCCTGCCTTTTACCCATAACTCTCGATTCCCTCACTGATTAAAAATCTCTCTATCCCAGCCTTGAATGACCCAGCCTCGACGGCTGTCTACAGTAAAGAATACCACAGATTCATTCCCCTCTTAGAGAAGAAATTCCTCCTAATCTCTGTTTTAAATGTGCGACTCCTTGCTATGAGATGATACCCTCTGGTCCTAGACTCTCCCACAAGGAGGGAAACACCGTTTCCACATCGACCCTGTCAAGTCCCCTAAGAATCCTGTATGTTTTAATAAGGTATCAATTATTCCTGGTGAAATCAGTCGAAAGAAAAAGATTTAAAGAACTCTCTGGCTCTTTTTGAAGACTCTGGAGATGCGAGATTTAGAAATGTAAGGTCACAAATCATTAAAATCCAGACATTGTCCAATAAATAAAATCAAAATGATCATTGGGATGTTGGCCTTTTGTTGAGGCAAATTGGAAGTCAAAGAGATACTCCAATTGGATCAATCTTACATTCCTGCGTTCAGTTCAGATTCCGACCTGAAAAAAGATTTTTTTTTGCATAGCATAGGCATTTCTGGTGAGGCCAGTGTATTTTCCATCCAAAATTGACCTCAATTTGAGTGGCAAAAAAATTACAAAATAAGACTGGCAGCTAACGTAAAGGGAAATCCCAAAATCTTCTCTTCGTTCATTTGTGGGATGTGGGCATCACTGGTTGGCCAGCATTTATTGCCTGTCCCTAGTTGTCCTTGAGAAGGTGGTGGTGAGCTGCCTTATAGATGGTAGACAGGCTTTGGGGAGTCAGGAGGTGAATTACTTGCCACAGTATTCCTAACCTCGGACCTGCTTTTGTAGCCACTGTGTTTATATGGTGAGTCCAGCTGAGTTTCTGGTCAATGGTAACCCACAGGATTTTGATAGTGGGGCTTCAAAGATGCTAACGCCATGAAATGTCAAGGGGCTGTGGTTAGATTGTCTCTTATTGATGATGGTCATAGCCTGGCATTTGTGTGGTGCGAATGTCACTTGCCACTTATCAGCCCAAGCCTGGATATTGTCCAGATCTTGTTGTATTTGAACATGGACTGCTTCAGTATCTGAGGAGTTATGAATGGTGCTGAACATTGTGCAATCATCGGCAAATATCCCCACTTCTGACCTTATGATGGAGGGAAGGTCATTGATGAAGCAGCTGAAGATGGTTAGGCACGTCACATTTTATAAGCACTACAAGAAAAAGA